TACTACTACTACTACTACTACTACTACTAGTGCTACTACTACTGCTACTTCTACTACTACTACTGCTACTACTACTACTATTACTACTACTACTACTACGACTACGACTACGACTACGACTACTACTACTACTACTACTACTACTACTACTACTACTACTACTACTACTACTACTACTACAGAACTACTACTACGACTACTACTACTACTAGTACTACTAGTACGGCTACTACTACCTTCGTTCCCAGCTAAAGTCAAGCCGGAACCCTCGCCGAAGGCCGATGCCAGGCCGGGCCCAGCTTCAGCGGCAGCAGCAGCGCGGCAGCAGCAGCGCTGGCTCGGGCACAGTTCGCAAAGCACCTGGGGCCCGCCGTCGGCGGCCGAGGCCCGCGCGATGGGCCGCGTCGCGGCCGAGACCAGTCGGGTGTGCGAGGACGCACTCGCCGAGCAACTGCGCCGCCACGGCGTCTCGGCGCCGGCAGAGAATGCCCCGCCGGCGCCGCCGCAGGAGCCAGAGCCTAAGGAACAACCGGCACTTCTTGGCGCCGTGCGCGTCGGCGCCCTGGGCCCCGAGTGAGTGACGCCCAGCCGCCTCCGGCGGGGCGGCCGCCCTCCTCGCGTCGCCCGCGCGTTCGTCGCCGCCGCTCTCGGACCCCACTGCCCGCGAGGCGCAGCACACCGCCACGGCAGGGCTGAAAGAAGGGGGCCTCGCACAGCGGCTGCTCGTCGACAAACGGCGGTGGACAAACCTCCCTTTTAGTAAACCTCCATTGAGTGACGACGGCCTGGGACCGAAACCGACGGGCCTAGAGCCGCAAAAATGGCGGCCGCGACGCCCTCTCGCGAACCGACAACGGCCAATTCGCTAATCGACGTGTCAGGGTAGGAGGTCTGTCCACCCCCGAGACAAGGGGAGATGCGCGGAGGACGAGCTGGGAGGGCGAAGCCCTTGGCGCGCGGTTCGGGTGGGAGGTCCCGCTCCAGGCCGAGGTCCCGTCGCCCCGTTGCGGACCCGAAGGGAACGCCGCGGGCGCCTGGGCCGCGCCCGGGCGCCGCGGCCCCCTTCGAGGCTTCCGCTGGAGAGGCCGCGGCCGCCACTCCTCGGCAGCGTGCGCACGGGCGCCCCAGGCTCCGAGGGGGCGCGAACGGCGATCGCTGACCAACTCCGGGAAACTGGCCGCCCTCCCTGCGGCGACCAGTTCGTCTCGAACGCGATGGCCAGCTCGTCACAGACGGCAGCCGCGGGGGCGCTGGCTGACGTGGGCCCCGTGGTGGAGCTCCACGCGGCCGCCAGCCAGCGGCGGGGCCTGGGGAACTTTTGTTGCGTCGGCGGCCAGGCAGCGCAACTGCGCAGGCGAAGGGCTACCTGAACGGGGGTGCCGTTGTGGCGAATTCTGCCACCATGCAGGACGGCGGGGGGGGCCTGGGGACCATGCGAACAAGCCCGCGCGGCAGCTCTCCTCCGCGAAGCCCGCGTGGGAGGTCCTGGCCGCGGTGGCGGTGGCAGCGCTTCGTGAGCAGCCTCGGCCCTCTGACCATCCACACTGCCACGGACTTTTGGGAGGGGTGCCCCCCCCCCGCCCCGCCGAAGGGGCGACGGCGGCCGCGGGCCCGGACAGGAGGGCCCCGCCCCGCCGGCCAGGCGACGCGCGCCTGCCGCGCGAGCTCCTCTCCAGGGACGGTGGAGCGGAGGGCGGGAGCGACCTGGCCGCTCGCGGCAACCTCACGCGTGTCCTCCGAAGCGCCCGCCGCTCGGTGAGGCGAGTGTCACGACTTAATCCGAGTGAAGGTATCTGCCAGCCAGCCTTCTGCATCGTGCTCCATCTGTGCGCTCGCCAACCTTCCGCAATGACTGCGAAGTGGCTGCCCCGTGGTGGACCCGACGGACGTCCCATGGTTGTCCCGCGAGAGACCCGTAATTGTCCCGTGATTGTCCTGCCCCTCTTCCCGTGGTTGGTTGTCCCGCGATTGTCGCGTCGTTGTCCCGTGGTTGTCCGCGTCGTTGTCCCGTGGTTGTCCCGTGTTTGCCCTGTGGTTGTTCCGTGGTTGACTCCCGTGTTTGTGGCATGCTTGCCCGTGGGTATGCCTGCGGTTGCCTCGCTGTTGTCCCGTCTGTATTAAATCAGACCATCTGACAGATAAGCAAATGGTGAGATCGATAGGTTGACCTTGATTCGTTCGAAACATGATGGGACCGATACACATAATGTTCACTTCATCGATAACTGCATTGCGATTCCAATCAACTTTGGTACACACCGACATATTGATGGCGGGATCGGTAAGTTTGATTTTGGGACTGCTCCATAACTAAATGTATGTGCCGTGGTTGTCCCGCTATTGTCCCGTGGCCATCCCGCGGCTTTCCCATGCTTGTCCCGCGGTTGTCTCGCGGCTACCCCATGGCTGTCCCGTGTTTGTCCTGTGGTTGCCCGTCCGCACTTGTCCCGTCCATCGATATATAGTGAGCCCGATCGAGAAATGTTGACGATGCGTCGGTTTATGATGCAACGGTCGATCAATAGTGAGAATGATCGATCGTGAGACCGAAGGACAGCTGGATAATGAGAACCAATTACAATATTTTAGACCCAGATATTTTGATCTTCCTACTATTTGCAGTGGAGTGGTACACTGTTATCAAGATCGGTTAGTAGTTCGATCTCCCGACGGATCATATCAACGCTACAATGAAACAGAGTGAGGTCGACAGTTAAAAAGATCGGTCGATATGTTGGCAGTGGGATTGATTGATGGATGGATAATGAACTACACACATATTTATATATATATATATATATACATATGCGTATCTAAACCTGTAGATATATCGCAAACCCGATCTGACGCCAATCGCATCAGATCCCTTATTGGCCGAAGGGTGCTCCATAGGTGCGAAAGAGCGCGTACTGTGGGCGCTTGGAAGGGGGGTGTCCGGAACCGGCCCTCACCCCCACCCCCCCGGGCCTGCGTCAGCGCCAGCGTGGGCGTGGGAGTGGGCATGGGCCTGGGCTTGGGCCTGGGCGTGGGAGTGGGCGTGGGTGTGGGCACGGGCGTGGGCGTGGGCGTGGGCCTGGGCGTGTGCGTGGGAAAGGGCGTGGTCGTGGTCGTGGGCGTGGGCGTGGGCGTGGGCGCGGGCGTGGGCGCTGGCGTGCGTGTGAGCGTGGGCGTGGCCGTGGGCGTGGGCGTTTGTGTGGGCGTGGTCGTGGGCGTGGGCGTGGGCGTGGATATGGGTGTGAGCTTGGCCGTGAGCGTAGGCCTGGGTGTGGGCGTGGGCGTGGGAACGGGAGTGGGCGTGGGCGTGGGCGTGGGCGTGGGAGTGTGCGTGGGCGTGGGCGTGGGTGGGTGGGCGTGGGCGTGGGCGTGGGCGTCGACGTGGGCGTGAGCGTTGGCGTGGTTGTGGGCGTGGGCGCGGGCGTGGGTGTGGGTGTGGGCGTGCGTGTGAGCGTGGGCGTGAGCGTGAGTGTGGGCTTGGGCGTGGGCGTGGGCGTGGGTGCGGGCGTGGGCGTGGGCGAGGGTGTGGGCGCTGGCGTGCGTGTGAGCGCGGGCGTGGGCGTGGGCGTGGGTGCGGGCGTGTGCATGGGCGTGGGCGTGGGTGTGGGCGTGGGCGTGTGTGGCTCTGGGCGTGGGTGTGGGCGTGGATGTGGGTGTGAGCTTGGGCGTGAGCGTAAGCCTGGGCGTGGGCGTGGGCGTGGGCGCGGGCGTGGGTGTGGGCGTGGGCGTGGGCGTGGGCGTGGGCGTGGGCGTGGGCGTGTGCGTGGGCATGGGGGTGGGCGTGGGCGTGGGCGTGGGCGTCGACGTGGGCGTGGGTGTGGGCGTGGGCGTTGGTACGGGTGCGGGCACGGGTGTGGGCGTCGGCGCTGCCAGCCGCCGCCGCCGCCACCGCCGCCGCCGCGCCAGCGCGGGGGGGGTCTCGGGGATGGGGGGGAGGGGAGTACCCCTGGTTCTGCTCGACTGCGCCGAATGTTGGGAGGGGGGGGGGGCCCGGTTCAAACGCGCCGCGGAGGCAAACGCCCGTGGAACGCGCTCCCTCATAGATGCACATCTGTTAGAAATTGGGGGGTGAGACCGAAGCGAAACGGAGTCGCCCGACGGGGAAATCGACCTCGGTTTCGATTCGTGTCGTGAGTGATGTGTGCTCGAAGCGAGGCGAAGCTGCGCGACCGCTCTGGCACTAGCTACACCACTGCGTCGGGGTCCGGTCCGCCAGGGCGGGGATGTCACGCGATTGTCCCGCCGTTTTCCTGTGGTTATCCTGATGGTTGTCTCGTCCCATCGTTGTCCACATGTTTGTCTGGATGGGCATCACAAAACCTCTTGCTCTGCAAAACAGGAGCAGCCTTCCACCTCTCCCGGACAGATCGGATCCATACTCCGTGTCGCGGCGGCAAGGGCCTGGCCCAAACTGATGAATAGAAAACAGCATGCTCGGTGTGCTGGTCAACCGTTCCCAAGCTTCAAGGAAGCATGCCTCCTCCTCCTCCTCCTCCTCCTCCTCCTCCTCCACCACCTCCTGGTCATCCTCGTTGTCAAAGGCATCGTCAACGTGGTCGTACTCCTCCTCCTCCTCCTCCTCCTCCTCCTCCTCCTCCTCCTCCTCCTCCTCCTCCTCCTCCTCACCACCACCACCACCACCACCACCACCACCACCACCACCACCACCACCACCACCACCACCACCACCACCTGCATGCAGCACACCAACTTCCCTGCCTACCTGTCTGTCTCCTCCTCCCTCTCCTCCTCCTCCTGCCCTGGTCGCGCTTACTCCCGCGGCGAGCCGCCGCGGACAGCGCGTGCCGTCCCTCCCGCCTCCCGCGCCCGTGACCCTCCCCTCTGGCCTCCCTGCAGGCTCGCCCTCTGAAGGCGTGCAGCCTGCAGGCCCGACGCGCCCCCCCCCCCCCCCCCCCCCCGACCGTGGTGGCCACGAGACCCTCCGCCGAAGGTCCAGCAAGGGAGGAGGGGAGGGAGAGGAGGAGGAGGAGGAGAGGAGGAGGAGGAGGAGGGAGGAGGAGGAGGAGGAGGAGGAGGAGGAGGAGGAGGAGGGGAGGAGGAGGAGGAGGAGGAGGAGGAGGAGGAGGAGGAGGAGGAGGAGGAGGAGGAGGAGGAGGAGGAGGAGGAGGAGGAGGAGGAGGAGGGAGGAGGAGAGGAGGAGGAGGAGGAGGAGGAGGAGGAGGAGGAGGAGGAGGAGGAGGAGGAGGAGGAAAAGGAGGAAGAGGAGGAGGAGGAGGAGGAGGAGGAGGAGGAGGAGAGGAGGAGGAGGAGGAGGAGGAGGAGGATGGAGGAGGAGGAGGAGGAGGAGAGGAGCAGGAGCAGGAGGAGGAGGAGGAGGAGGAGGAGGAGGAGGAGGAGGAGGAGGAGCGAACGTCACCTGAGGGGCGCGTCCGTCCGAGAGCCACGCTACGGCTCGCCAAGCATCGGGGCGTGGCGGGCGGCGGCAGCGGCTATGTCGATTGCAATGGGGGTGGATGTGAGAATGGGTGGGAAGAGCTGGGCTGAGGGCGACGCGGCACTCATCGTGTCCTGCTTGATGGTCTTGCAGCGCTGCTCCAGCGCGAGGATGGTCGCGTGGCAGTCCTCGTCGTCGGGCAGGGCGCGGAGCAGACCCAGCATGTGGGGCACGATGTAGTCCTTGTCGCACGTCGGCTGGTTGAGGATGTAGGTGGCGTACTCTATGTCCGAGCTCTGCGGCCAGGCGCATTTGAGGCAGAACGTCTGGTGGGGCACGTCGTTGAGGCAGCGCGGGCATACGAGGTTCTCGTCATCGGATGTCGTTCCGCTTGCGCTCGAATGCTGGTGGTGTGCGTTGAAGTCGTCGGCCCAGTCCGCGTGAGACCAGCCAGAAGCTGTGGAGTCGCAGTCGGAGTAGCTGTCAAGGTAGCCGTGGCACAGGGCGAGAGTGTACATGTCCTCCAGCGACATGTCCTCCAACGTGTCTTCCAGCGTCAGGTTTTCCTCCAGCGAGCGCGCGATGCGGGACGGGATCAGGGAGGTTGCGACGTGCGCCTGGCGCAGCATGTTCATGGCGTTCTGTACCTTATTCAACGAAATCTTGGGGAAGCTCTCGTCCGCATTCAGCTGCTTGTGGACCGTGCGGTAGCCGACGTGACCGTTCTTGCGGAGCAGGGCGCGGATTCTGTTGTGCAGCGTGTCGGAGGAGGCGGGCGCGCAGAGCTGCGCGGCATCGGCGTCCAGCGGCACGATGGGAACAGACATCGCGGGCGCGTCGGGATTCACGTCGCGGACGTGGGTGGCGTACAGGGCGTTCAGCGGTTCGAGCGCGTCGGAGTCCACGTAGAAGGCGGGAGGGTCGTTGGGCGGTTTGCACAGCTCGTTCCGCACGGGGAGGGGAGAACCTGAATGCGCAAGCAGCGGACGCTCCGAACAGCAGGGCTGTAGAGAGCTACCGCGGCTCGGAATGGAGGCCTCGATGGTCGCGGCCACGGCGGTCGGCGGGTCGATGGTCGGCGGGACGTTCGGCAGCTTGGACGGCGTCGGCAGGCTGGGGACGGCGTACGGCTCGGTGGAGTCGGTCGTGGGCGTCTGCTCTGCCAGCACCAGTTCCGAGAGCTCGTGGCTGTGGGCCGTCGGCCTGTTCGGCTGCAGCTGGTTCGCGAGGCAGGTGAGCTGGCTCGTGGACGCGACCTGCAGCTTGTTCTTGCGCGGCGTCGGCAGGCCGAGGACGGCGTGCGGCTCGTCGGAGTCGGTCGTGGGCGCCTTCTTCGCAAGCTCCTGCAGCTGGTACGCGAGGCTGGTGAACTGGGTCGTGGTCGCGTCCTGCAGCTGGTTCGCGAGGAGGTTGAACTGGCTCGCGGACGCGTCGATGATCGTGGCTAGGTGCTTCTGCTGGGTGATCTTCTGCTCAGCGCATTGCTCATGAAGGTCAGCGAGCTCCCGTCTGGCTTCGAGTGCCTGCTGTTCGCTGGCTGCGAGCGCGGCGTGCATCTCCGTCAGCGCGGACTTGATGGCATCAATGTCACTTGGCGGCAAGGGACCATCAGCAGCGACAGGAGGAATAGCGATGGCGCGCTCCAGGGCGAGCTTCCCGACCTCGTGCTTCGCGCGGTTGGCCTTCTTGTGGATGAGCGTCGCGGCGTTGCGCTCCTTCGGGTCGGAGTGCGACATCGCGGCGAGCGTCGCCAGCCTCGCCGAGTGGTGGGGCATCCCCGTGTCGACGTCGTGCTGGGCGTGCACTTCCAAGGACTTGACGATGGTCTTGGCGCCAGCGACGAGCCAGAGCGGCACCGATACCCAGCGGCGAGTCGGTTCCGGCCATGGGATCAGGAAGCCGCGCTCGATCGCGCGGGACCGCCGGGTGGCACGGGCTTTGGCGGAATGCCGGTGGGGCATGGATATGAAGGGGGGAGGAGGGCGCTACTCGAGGCGGCGCTCGCAGCACATTCGCCGAAGCATCGGTGGACTTGAGCCAAAATGGCTACGGAGGAGGAGGAGGAGGAGGAGGAGGAGGAGGAGGAGAGGGAGGAGGAGGAGGAGGAGGAGGAGGAGGAGGAGGAGGAGGAGGAGGAGGAGGAGGACCATAGTAAACCCAACATGCATCAACGATGCTGCAGTACACGTTCCTGTCCCAAGCCCCCTCCTCAGTAGTGCGTGCACAGGCACTCTGTTTCACTGCGCCGAGCGTCTCCGTTGACGAATGAGCGCCCGAGGGGGGCGTAATTCAGGCGGGAACTCTTTTTTGACGGAAGCCTCCCGCCGCCCTTCGAGCTACACGGAATTCAATAAGGTGGGTTTCAACATTCAGGGACATGCCCAATGCCCACCCCGACTTGAAACATAATCGATCTGCATCCATGTAGCTGCTGCGAAAGCTCCACCTATTGTCATAGAAGCGATCGAAAACTCAGGCGATAACCCCATGTTTTAAAAAGGACTCTCCCTCCTTTCGTGTAACGGTTCGATCGTTTTACGCTAGCGGTGATACTGCCAGAAGAAATCCAACACGATAATCACAGATTGAACACGTGCCAGCTTCCATACGTGTAGCTGTTGGGATTTTCTTTGAAGACGGACATGCGCGGCGCTAAGACGAGAACCACATGAGGAACACACACAGACCCTCCATCCGTATGACTGTTGGAACTCTGACTTCGGGGCAATTGTAAGGAAGTCCCACATCGAAAAGCTCAGCCCGCTATCGGGACCCGTCTGGTGGTGCGGCAAAGAAGAATTAGTCATAGGGACGAAGGGTGTAGGGGAGTGGGAGGAGGAGCGAGGAGCAAAAAGGGGAACTCCCTCCTCCTCTCCCTCTCCCGTGACGCGCTGCGACCATGACTTCGAAAAGAGCCATGGCGACGAAGGCCCCCAGGAAGGCCCAAGAAAAGTTCACATCCACATTCTCCTCCACTTCTACCTGGTAGGATCTAAATCCGCCCCGAATCCTGACCTACTGATTGTTCTGAACGGGGGCGAAACTCAGGAACTCATCCTCCCTCCTTTCTGATCCCTCCTCTCCCCTTCTGTTCCCTCCTCCCGACACTACCTGGGAGTTCCAACCCAGCCTCCTTCTCCGAGGGACAACGCCCGCAGAGTTAGCTTGTTCCCTCCCCCTCCCCGTCCCCCTCCCCCTCCCCCTCCCCCTCCTCCTCCTCCTCCTCCTCCTCCTCCTCCTCCTCCTCCTCCTCCAGTGAACCAACTTCTCCTTCGAGCTCAGCTCTGGGGGAGGGGGGCCAGGGGAGCAATGCCCGCGGAGGCAGCTCTGCTCCCCCCTCCCCCTCCCCCTCCAACCAACCAGTAAACCAACCATCTCAGCCTCCGCCCCTCCTCCTCTTCCCCCTCCCTCCTCCTCCCTCCTCCTCCTCCTCCTCCTGCCCCTCCTCCTCCTCCTCCTCCTCCGCCTCCGCCTCCGCCTCCACCTCCTTCCGCCTCCTCCGCCTCCTCCTCCTCCTCCTCCTCCTCCTCCTCCTCCTCCTACTCCTCCTCCCCCTCGGCGGTCGGACGGGAGCGGCAGAGACCGCGCTTATGTCTGTGCTGGTCCCCTCGCTCAGCTCACGACCAAACCTCCTCCCCCTCCGCAGGCCCGCCGCGGCGAGAGCGGAGCATCCCCATGGACTCCCACGGCCTCGGCTTGCGCGCGGGCAGAAGTGGACATTGATCTATACATATATACATATATCCGCCGATCCGGCGTGTGAGTTTCAAGGAGTCTCAGCTACAGCCTCGAGGCTGAGCCTCAGCCTCTGGGGGGGTTGCCGGGGTGGCTCTGCCGGGGAAGGGGGGGTGGGGGGGGGGGGTGCGAGTTTCCGGCGGATGCGTTTTTTGACACCCCTCACAAGGATCGTGGCCTCCGAGGGGGTTCCGAACTCGAGTACCACCCCTCCCGCACCAAGAGGCTCCGAGGAGGCCTCCAAGAGGCCCCAAGGGGCGCAGAAGAGGCCCCCAAGAAGCCCCAAGAGGCTCCCAAGAGACCCCCAAGAGGCCCTCTAGTGGCCCCAAGAGGCCCAAGAGGCCCCCAAGAAGCCCCAAGAGCGCCCAAGAGGCCCCCAGAAGTCACAGCCAACCACGAGATCCCAACCAGCATCCATGAGGCCTCTGACCCACCACCCACGCACGGTGGCGGGATAGGCCGACGGCCACTGGATCCGCCGCCCCCTGCTTGCAGGGGTGCACGGCGTGCTGGATGAGCTGTCAGGTTTTGGTTTTGGTTCTTTTTCCAAAAGAACTCCCCAGTGGGCTCCGGCAGAACCCGCCGGCCACCCGGAAAATCCCCAAACGTGCTCAACGACCGGAAAAAATCCTCCAAAAAACGGCCGTTTCGCTCGGGACATCCTCAAAAATCGCGAAGATGGCCCAAGATGGCCTCCAAGTCCGCCCGAGATGGTCCAAGACGGCCTCCAAAACGGCCCAAGAGAGTCCAAGACGGCCCAAGACGGCCCAAGAGGCCCCCCAGAGGCCTCCCAGACGGCCCAAGAGGCCTCCAAGAGGTCCTCCAGGAGAGTCCGAAGAGGCCAAAATCATTGATTTTCCCTTGGTTTTTGAAGGATTTTGGCATTTGCGCCTTTTCGGCTCTCCGACGGCTCAAGACGGCCCAAGAAGCCCCCAAGATCGCCCAAGAGGCCCCCAAGAGAGCCCCATGATGGCCCAAGTGGCCTCCAAGATGGCCCCTAGAGGGCCCCAAGAGGGCCCAAGAGGCCTCCAACACGCCCAAGATGGCCTCCCAGACGCCCAAGATGGCCTCCAAGACGGCCCTGGAGCATTCCAAGCGGGCCCCAAGTCGGCCCATAGAGGCCCCCCAAACGGCTTCCGACGGCTTCAGACGTGCCAGGAACCCACCAAGATGGCCGAAGTTGGCTCGAAGCTGGCCCGAGACGGCCCAAAAAAGCCCCAAAGATCGCCCAAAGACGGCCCAAGAAGCCCCCAAGATCGCCCAAGAGGCCCCCAAGAGAGCCCCATGATGGCCCAAGTGGCCTCCAAGATGGCCCCTAGAGGGCCCCAAGAGGGCCCAAGAGGCCTCCAACACGCCCAAGATGGCCTCCCAGACGCCCAAGATGGCCTCCAAGACGGCCCTGGAGCATTCCAAGCGGGCCCCAAGTCGGCCCATAGAGGCCCCCCAAACGGCTTCCGACGGCTTCAGACGTGCCAGGAACCCACCAAGATGGCCGAAGTTGGCTCGAAGCTGGCCCGAGACGGCCCAAAAAGCCCCAAAGATCGCCCAAAGCTTGCCCAAGAGGCCTCCAAGACGGCCAAGATGACCTTCAAGATGCCCACGTGTTCCCCGAAGGCTTTCCAAACCGATTCGGGGAACACGTGGTCCGATAGCTTGGCAGGTCTGGCCTCAACGTTCGGCCACATAGGCGCTTCCAAAAAGGCAGGGGGCGGCGGTGATTCGCCGTAGGCGTCTTCGATAAATGCTGAGTGAGAGGAGGGGAGGGAAAAAGAGAGGAGGGACGATGGCTAAGAAGGATCACATCAGTCGGAGCGCCCCGGATCGGCGGCACTGGCCGAAGGCCACTACAATATATATATATATATATATATATATATATATATATATATATACACATATACACATATATATGTGCGTATACAAGGAGGACGAGGAGAAGGATGGAGATGAGGGAGGAGGGAGGAGGGAGACGACGAGGAGGGGGGAGAGGAGGGAGAGGAGGGTGGACGAGGAGGGAGGAGGAGGAGTTTAAAGAGAACGATGGAGGAGGAGTGCCTCGGCCGTGTCATCGGGGCACCAGGGGGACCGCCGTCGCTGGGGCCCAGCAGGGAGATCGGGATTCCGGTGAACGGGGCACAGCCGTCGCGTGTCCTAGAGCGGGGGGTGGTAGATGTCCGCGGTATCGAAGTGCTCAGTGCGACATGCTTGACGACACTCTTCCTTCTTTCCTCCGGGAAGGGAGGGAGGGAGAGAGGGAGGGAGGGAGGGAGGCTATAGGACGAGAACGACTCTTAGAAGATGGTCCGCTTTGTATCCTTGACGCTGTTGCAAGTTAAACTGCATCATCAGAGGTGATGCGGAAGTCTGATGCGACGCGCCTGGCCCGCCCTACGGACACGTCTGGAGGTGCGGCATGGAAGTGTTATGAAACATTTGAAAGGAACAGGCCTCGGAAGAAATTAGCGAACACTCCTGCCCCAGCCATGTGCCAATGCCCCCCCCCCCCCCCCCCGAATGATCAATGTTGGCGGTGGGTTGGATGAGCTGCACTTCGACCGCAGTCTTCCCTGCGCGTGCCAACTTTGAGTTTTGGGGGGGCGGGGGAGTGTCCACTAATTGTTGCCCTCTACCGGATGTATCGATCGCGAGAAGGAGGGGGGAGGGCAAGCGGGTAGCAACCCAGCCCCAACCTCGCGGCTCGCATCCATCTGGGGGGGGTGCTGGAGCAGGGCGCTGCAACCCCTCTAGCAAGGTCTGCCAACCTGCGCAGAGAGTTATGCACCAAGAAGGGCCTCCCCCCCCCCCGCGCTCCCGCGGAGGCAAAGCTGGCGGGGAGGTGTGCAGACATTGGGGGCATCGACGTGTGCTCAGGCTGGCGCAGCGACGAGGCCGTCGAAATCCAAGTCGGCGGCTGTCGGCTCCATGGGAGCGAGAGCCCCCGACCGCCCAGGTGACAGGTAAGGTTAGGTCGGGCATGCCCCCCTACAGGCCCATTTTGGACGAACAATATCAAAAGGTCAAACAATATTCAAAGGTAGTCAAAAAATATGGCAAAAATCGTCCCGATACTATCTTGAACATGTTTTTGAATGTTCCCCTGTAGAGGGACAGGCCCGACTTAAAGATAGGACGCGAGGACTGTGTCGTCCAAGCCAGCGCGGCCCTCCGAGAGATGCCGGCGACGCTGCGGCCGCATAATCCTGGTGGCGCATGGATTCTGGCGGGGATCCGGCCTTCATGAGAGGCAACTTCTGCTGCCTTCCCAGACCCCCTTGCGTTGTGAAAAAATCACGGCGGGAAATTGTTCGACATTTTCGGCCTCCGAGGGCCCTTCACGGGCCTCGGGACCGTCACAAAACGACTCAGGAAGGAAAACGGGTCCAGGGGAAGGGGTCCAGACCTCTGGGGGTCGACGTTTAGAAAAAATCACGACGTCGGGGGTCTGGTTTTGTCATTCAGCCAGATGACGCCCACACCTGCGAAGAGCGAGCGCCGACCGCACCCACCGCAGAGCTGCAAACGGGTGGCCGCCCCCACCAAGAGGGTCGGCCATGCGCCGGCTTGCGTCGTACAGCGAGGCACGCAAGCCTGCGGCCCGGTGCCAGCACCACAGCGTCGATCCGCGCATGACCGCCCTCGGAGGAAGCACCGGTGTACATCACCACTGGAGGGCCAGCAAGGTTGGCAAGCGGAGGGGAACGAGGAGGCACGCGGCGTGCCGCAGCGGCGAAGCACTGCAGGCAACGACGCAGATTGTCCGAGAGGTCAGCCGGCTTTTCGTAGCGTCGCCAGGCAAGCAAGGCCGACAGGGCCCCACGACACGGGCGATGTGCGAAAGAGAGAAGGAGAGAGCGAGGAAGAGAGAACTATCCAAGCAGGTGCATGTGCTTCGGAGACAGGCGGCCTCACCTGACAGCAAAAGTGGGCGCCCAATTGCCTGCGCGACCCCGTCCAGAGAATGCTGTGCAGCCCCGAGGTTGGGCTCGAATGTCATGGTGCCGCTTGTGAGCGCGCGAGTGAGGTCGAGCATGTAGCGTAGGATTAGGTCGGGCGTGTCCCCCTGCAGGTGAGTTTTGGACGAAAAATGAAACATTCCCCCAAACATATCCAAACACATTCGAACATAAAAAATAGTCCTCCTGTAGAGGGACAGGCCCGACTTAAGCGTAGGAAAGGGAGCATCGAGGTTGGCGACGCTCGCTCCAACGGCACGCCGAGCGCGCGAGCCAGGGGCAAGAAAACATCATGCGCGTCGAGATCGGGCATGTCCCTCTACAGGAGGATTTTGGACGAAAGACAAAAATATTCAAACAATATTCAAAAATAATCAAAAATAGTCAAAACATCGTCCCCGTATTATTTTTGGATGATTTTTGAATATTATTCCTTCTGTAGAGGGACACGCCCGACTTAAGCGTCGGCATGCGCGTGAGCGATGTCGACAATCAGGCTATCGTCGACATAATGCCTGACCGTGGTGAACAAAAAGCGTCTGGCTGCTGCTGTGATCACAAGAGGGGCGCGAAAAATCATGTCCACGTCCGACCCTAAGCCGAAAGGCAGCCCGCGCAAGATTGTATACAGCGGCTCGCGCGCGGCGTCGTGAAATAGCGCGACAACAACGAACGCCGTGTCCCTGCGAGCTGGGAGCAAGTGCCTGTAGCCCTTCCACCAATCCTCCACTGTTGCGCTGGGTACTAGCCAAATTGGCGCGCCAGCTCAACCGCTCCAGTCGCGCAGCACCGCGCAATGCTTCGGAGGAACACGTTCTGGGCGTGCCGTCTGGGCGTGCCGCACCCCACGGTGGAGTCGGACGCGCTCTCGCAGTCGCGGCGACGGTGGCGCAGCCCGGTCGACCACCGCAAAGACCCCGACGAGGTACGATAGGGCAGGCAAATTCAGACGCAAACCCTTGGACCGAACAAAAAATCATACCCTGGAAAACCGCGTGGGCAACTGTTCGGGGCTGGGTTGGGCTCAGGTCGGGCCTGTCCCCCTACAGGCGGATTTCGGACAACAAATTTAAGATTCTTCAGACATGTTTTTTCCTTTAATGCTAAAAGGATAATCGAAAAATCGTCCCCTGACTTTTTTTTTACTATTTGGAAATGTTCCTCCTGTGCAGGGACAGGCCCGACTGAAGGCTGGGCACTCTGGCCTGGCTCGACCGGCCCTGAGCAGATCGCAGGCGGGGCCTGGCGGGCGCGGGCCCCCCCCCGCCCGCCATGGGGGCTCGCACCGGGCTCGGCAAGAGCTCCCTGAGAACGCATTTGGCTGGCGCCGGGAGTGTCAAGACGAAGCCAGGACGAGGACGACATCGGGTGAAGAGAGATCGAGAATCTCTGAGATCCGGCGGTTCTGGAGGACGGCTCGGGCGCCGCGGCCTTCTCAGAGCGTTCCGGAATGCTCCGAGAGCGTTCTGGAACGCTCTGGAACGGATGTCGCCCCGTCCGAAATGTGCTCCAAGTGCGCCCCTCTGGATTCCTGCTCTGCTGAAGTCGTTTGGTGCACTTGCACTCTAGCGCCGGAACTATACCCGCCGCCCTTGGCCTGGGGCAGCTACAAGCGAGGCGACCTTCTGGCCTCGCACCGAACTGCGCCGCAGCCTCTACATATCGGCCGAGTGTGTGCTCGGCGCGCGCGGCACCAACCGACGCGCGCTTCATAAACTTCGCGGCCGATGCCAGGCCGAAACCAATGGCCAACGTTATTGTGTTTGTTGGTCTGAGATATCATACGCCACTCGGTGCCCTGCCAGCCGGCGTGCCGCGGGCGAGGGCGGACGCCGCCCTGCCCGAAACGGCGCTCGAGGTCCTGGCGGGTGCAGAACGGCTCAGCGGGCCCTGCCTCAGTTTTCCATGGTTAGACCGTGCAACGCATGCGTCAGCGGGCCTGGTGCCATGCTGGGTTCGACATCGAGGGCAAAATCGTGCGCCGCCAGAACGCGCAGAGTTTCTCCAGGGCGCAGCGGGCAATACTGCCTGGGTGGCTTCGTAACTGGCGAAGGGCGCGCGATGGCGGGGCAACCGATGAAAATTCGAGGCCGTGGACGGGACGAAGCGGGAGATCTCGATCCGGCCAGTCCAGCAAGCACACTATCAACGCAGCCATGACGGTCTACATGCGTATGCGTGGAGCATCAGGCACGAAGTCGTGCCGTTGCCGCAGGGCGAGTTGGTCCAACGGCCTCGCCACCTGGGCCAAACTTTGCAAGAGCTTGACCCTGCAACACCGCTGGTCGCGGACACGGGTGCCAAGGGCAGCGCTGGCGCTGACTGCGAGCTGTGGGCCTACCTCCAACGATGGCGGGGCATCGAACGGGTGCTCCACTTCGGAGGCCCACCGCCTGTGCTCGTCTGGCTCACTGCTCGTAGCAACTGGCCCTGGACATGCGCACCTGGAGCAGGAGGTGCGACGCTGCCTGGCAGCAGCCGCGAGCATCGGTGACCTGGGACACGGAGAGCTTGGACGTCTGGGCCCTGCAGCGTACCAAGGGCACGCGCCGAAAAGGTCGAACTCAAACAAACCACTCCCACCCCCGCCCCCCTCCGCCGTGCAACACATACCATTACGCACGAGCACTGTTACAGTCGGACTTCATTGGACAGGACACGCGAGAAGACAAAAGACCCTTCTGGGGGCCACATTGCCATAGGAATGCAGGAGGCACGGGTCGCGAGACACAGGACACAAAGGTACCCTTGATCTGGCAGGGTCGACCTACTAATCTGGGCCAACTGTAGGATGCACGCGGCCTGCTTTCCTTTCCCCTATGGGTAACTCCTCCGTGTCGCACCCCGAGGCCGGTCGAAAGGGCGGGCCGGGCGTTTCGCTTGAGACGCCCTCACCATCTATGACCCTGGAGTTATAACGTGTGTATCAATTTCACGGAAGATGTGGCTCTCGCCTTAGCGCCGCGCACATTTGTGTCAACAAATTGTAAGAGTTTCGCGGATTGAGGGCGGATCGTTTTCAAAATGTGGATCTCGCCGGAGCGTCGCGCACATTTGTTTCAAACATTTGCAAGAGTCTCACGGGTTGAGGGCGGGCAGTTTTCAAAATGTGACTTTCGCCTGAACGCCACGCGCATTCAATTCAAACATTTGCAGCATTTACGCGGATTGAGGGCGGGTCATTTTGAGGACGTGGCTCTCGCCTGAGCGCCGCGCACGTTCGTTTCAACAGTTGTAAGAATGTCACTGGTTGAGGGTGGTACCTTTTCAAAATGTGGCCATCGCCTTAGCGCCGCGAGCATTCGTCTTAAATCTGTGCAGCAATTTCACGGATTCCCAGAGTCAGCGTACAAGAAATTGTGTTTTGGAAGGACACAGGATTGTGAGGGCGCAGCAGTTACGTTGATTCGCGGGATTCGCGGTGTTGAAATCCCGGGAATGGCTTTCGGGTACGATTCAGATTGATTCGTGGCGCTGGAGTCCCGAGAATGGTGCTTCGGCAAGCCTCAGGGTCTTCAAAGGGCTGTCTCGCAACGAGGCAGTTCCATCAGCAGAAGTGAACCCCCGTAGGGGCCAACGAAGAGGGAGCTTGGAGGGAGGGTTTATTCCAACATGTTTGGTGAGTCTTGGGTTTGCACTGGTCTTCCTCCTCCTCCTCCTTCTCCTTTTCCTCCTCCTCCTTTTTCTCCTCCTCCTGCTTAGACCAGAAATTTCGCTTATTATGACTCCGACACAAAACAAGAGTGCTCCTCAACTTCTTAACCGTCTTCCCGCTCCCCCCGACCGCCGGCTGAGGCCTGGGCGCGGGTGGCACGCGGGCCGAGAGCCGCGGCGGCGCCCCTCGGGGGCTGCGCAGCATGAGGGCAGCTCCGTCTCCGGCGGCGAGGCACTGCGGCAGGGCGCCTGCGCTTCGTTTTTTGCTTTGTTTGCGTGTGTGTGTGTGTGTGTGTGTTGTGTGTGTGTGTGTATGTGTGTGTATGTGTGTATGTGTGTGTGCGTGTGTGTGCGCTTGTTTGGGAGTTTGTGTGTATGTAGCGAAGCTGGGTGTTTTTCCTGGCAAGCCGCCCGCCCTGTACAGCCTCCCGCATGCAACGCCTGGCTAAATTCTGAATAGCACGTGCCGCATGCTACCACTTGCTCTTCCTCTGGTGTACATAATCACCTGGCCAGCGGAGGAAAACATGTCTGCAACTGCACTCTCAACTCCACACGCGCCCTGTTATCTTGCACCCGTGGTTTGGATTCCGCCGCGCGTCGGAGCAAAGCATGTGTGTACGCCGCCAATCTTGGTTCGCTGGCGACCGCCCCCGCCTTGGTGGCCCGCCACCTCGGCCGGTACCCAACCGGTACGTCCGGTTTCGCCGCTCCACTCGCCTGCTCCCCCCGCACGCCCGTGTGGCGCTCGGAAACCTCGCGCCTGCCACTGCCGGCCGGCAGCTGCAGGCAAGGACTTCTGATGCCCAGTCTCACCGGCTGCCGCCGGGCTTTGGGGGCGCTGGCGTGCGTCCTGGGTCGCAGCAGCACCGCGCTGCTCCTCCCGCCCCGCCCTTTCCCCCCCCGTCTGGCCTCCTGGCGCGCGCCTCCTGGCCTCGCCTGCCTCGCGCCCGCCGGTTTGGCCACCGCCGCTCCCCGCTGCTCTGCACACCCGTTTGGCGCCGCGCGGGGCCGGCACCCGCGCGCGGCCCGCTGCCGCCCCCCCCCTCCCCGCCCCCGCCACCAACGCCCAGCCGAGGCAACTGCTCCCCTTGCCTCGCCACTGCCCCGTGAGGGCCCGACCTCTGTTTCTTGCCCAGCCAGCGCGCGCGCGCGCCCGCGGAACTTCCACGCAGCCAGAGGCTTGGCCTGGCCCGCGACGCTCAAAAGAGTTTGCGTGTGCTTCTAATCGTGCTCCTTGGTGGATTATTACCTTCCCCATCTGCCGCTGCGCACCGTAATTTTGCCGCCGCCCCTGTCGGATTGACGTCCGCATCACGTCAGCCCGAATCGGAAGACACGCTGTTGTTGTTACGGCCTCTCTCTCTCTCTTTGGCTCTCTCTCTCTCTCTCTTTCTCCCGCGCCGTTGGTGGCATGGGGCGCAGAAGTGTTCGTGTCCTTTGCAAGACCTGCCCTTTTGAAATCATGATAATCATCAAGCTGCAAGTCGTATTCTCCGCTCAGAATGTCTTGGGGCCTCCGGGGCTCAGGTTCGCCCTGCAAGACGCGCAGTGCAGTCCCCACGATGTCTCGACTCGCCCAACACTTACTTTTGCGAGGGTGGCCTAATCAGTGGGACCATGCCTGGGCTGGGCTCGTGGCAGACCTCGGTGAGCATCGTCTATGCTAGGGTCCTTCTCCTGGGGGCGCTGGCCTGTCGATGCCTCATGCTCCAGCCGGGCCTGATACTAGCCAGCGTTGGCACAAAACGCTGTGTTTCCAGCGACCTATGTTGTGCAACCTGTGTGGATCAATCTATGTGGCGCAATATGGGTGGTGCAATCTACATGGTGCAATCTGTGATGTGCAATCGACGTGGTGCAATCTATGTTGTGGAATCTATGTGGTGGGTTTTGTCTGTCGTGCAATCTACGTGGGGCAATCGATGTAATGCAGTCTACGTAGTGCAGTTCAGGTGGTGCAATCTATGCGGTGCGCTCTTTATGTGGCGCAGACACCGTGGTGCAATCTATGTGGTGCACTCTATGTGGACCTATCTACGTGTTGCACTCCATACTTGGTGCAACGTACGTTACTCCAGGTCTCGCAATAAGCGTGGGGGGGTGGATCGCGTGGGGGGGTGGGAAACCGGTGTCCTTCGGGGGGCGTGGGAGGTTAGGGAGCGAGAGGGTGTGGGTTTGGGGCGCGTGGGGGGGTGGGCAAGGGGCGTCGGACAGGTTGGCACGGGGGGGGTGCTTATTGGAGGATGTGCGGTATGCGATATATGCGGTGCAACCAGCGTGATGCATTATATGTGGTGCATGATATATATATATATATATATACATTTATGTGGTGAAATCGATGTGGTGTAATTTACGTGGTGAAATGAACTCACCCTGCCAAAGTTGAAGTTGCCAACTCCACTGCTCGCGCAATCATCCCACCCACCAGCCCGCAACTTGGTTTGCAAAACCCATGCGGCGGCGACTGCGATGACTGCCCAGCGCTGGCTGGTGCATCGCTGCTGCCGCGCGAGCGCGCGAAGGCTCGCGCGCAGAGCGGCCAGCTAGTCTGGCGCGACCCGCGCGGCCGTGGTGGCACTGACCGCTGGGCACTTCCCAGAACGTCGCGCAAGCCGCGCTGACACGCGGGCACTTCAGTGCGAATCGTGGCTCGGGCGGGCGCGGAATCATGGCGACGTCGACAACGGCAGACACAATGATGATTTTAGCGAGGCTGGTGACGATGATGGCAATGATGACGGCCAAGCCATTCACGGCGCCAATGCTGATCACGCCGGCGACGACGATGGTGTCCACGTGTCGGTGATGAACATTTTGACGGATTTCGAAATGCGCGCTGCCGATGAGCGAGAGTGGCATGCATGGTAGTATTTGACATGGATCGCGCCCCCCCGCGCAAGGGCGTTCGAATGATTTCGACATGCGCGTGCGAGAGGCCCGTTTGGTCGCATTTGATAGAATTTGAAGCACCGATGGTTCTCTTAAGAACTCGCACGAGCGCGCGCGCATTTTTGCTTGAACAGCCATGTTGCAACATCACCTTTCTTTCTCGGGCGATAGAACCAGCCAGTCTCATGTGCAGTGCAGGACAACACTGTATACTACAAGCTGTAAGCTGAAACATATTCATACATATACGCGCTGCAACAACACAAGGCAAACTGCGGAGGAGGAAGAGGACAAAAAGGAGGAAAGGAAAACGGCAGGAGCAAACATTGAGTGAACGCCCCTCGGCCTTGTTCCCCCAAGCACTGGCGGGAAAAGAAGGCCATTATGCCGCGGCCGGGAGGGCATTCCGAAGTCCTTCCTCCCACCTGCAAGCACCTGTTGCAAAGCCATTGTTCGATATGTCTTTGGGACTCTCGATTTTGAAATCTGTGCCAAACCTGGGGTTGTTGATGTATTTCGGCATGCGAGCGCGACAATACGCGCATGTGCGCTTTGCCTCATTATTTGGCACGGAAGGTGAAGGGGGGTCAACGGGTTTGGCTCGAATGGTATGGACTCATATGGACAATGAACGTTGGGGCAGAAACATCTGTAAACTGCACATGCCCAGGGGGGCCTGATCACCCCCAGGGGGGGAGATCCGAATTCTCTTTTGGTGAAGAGAACCTATGGGGGGGCGCACCAGGGCCGCCGAGGCGGCGACGGCGGCAACAAAGCGGCGGACCTCACGAACGAGCCCAGACGACGGGCGGCGACGAGGCTGCGACGCGGTGGCGACGGCGGCAACAGGCAGCGGATCCGACAAACGAACCCAGGCAACGGGCGGCGACGAGGCGGTGACGGGACGATGACAGCGGCAACAGGGCGGCGGACCCGACATACAAACCCAGATCCTTCGAAGACAACTAAGAAAACCCAAGTGCAAGCACTGTTTGGGAAACGACAGTCAGCTGCGGCCATGGCAGTCCAAGAACTCAAGCTCACGCCACAACCTACTGGAAGAGGCAGTCAAGTGCTATGGGTGGCAGCGAATCAGTCGTAAGCGAAATCATGTGACCTACGCCAAACTGCGAGTACCCGCGAGTGTCCCGCAAGAGGTGGTGGGCGCCAGGCCTCGCTGGGTGCAGTACACCGATCTGCGAACGCAGTTATTTAGTATACCGTTGCCAATCGTGCCACACCAAGCGGGGTCGTCGGTAGCACAGTCGCCCCGCAAAGTATGGCTCGGACAGGCGACTACGCACAACTTTTGAACCCCCGCTCAACTTGATGGCCTCGCAGCCGCCTCCACGTCGCTTGCACAATCAGCATGTTCGGTGGCAGGTCTCTAGAGCGACACTCTGTTGTGCCCCCCGTCCCCGACATGTCTGAAGCCTTACATGGGTGGCACTCGGCTGTAATAGCTCGTGTCTGGTCCGGCACCTTGCCACCTCGGGCATTGGGTCCTCCAGACATACTCAGAAGGGCTCCGAATCCCTCGAAGAAGCACCCAGGAGGATTTCAGAGAGTGTCTCCAAGACCCCCCCCCACACCATGAAATCAAGGCACACTGAAGAACAAGATGTCAGAGTGAGGGGGCCGAACGGTCATTCATTGTCCCTGGGTGCGTGGCTTAAATGCGGATCCGTGGTGAGCATTCTGCTTGCTGCGTTGATAATGTTGCTGTTGTTGTTGCTGTTGTTGAACATTATTTCTTCTTAAGAATAATTATTGTTGGGGCCCCTGGTGCACGACCCCCCCGCCGCGCCTAGGCCGCAGCCTCATTTTCATCATTTTCGTGAGGAAGTCTCAGGCAAAACGGGGGAGTCCGGATCCGGTTGTGTTGTTACGATCGGTTTTCCCTTGCAAAAAATAAGCTAAAGTGGACATTTCTTGTTCTAACATAACCAAACTTCAAGAATCCCTTGCAAAAAATAAGGTAAAGTGGACATTCGCGCGCGCAAGACGAAATCCTTCCAAAACCTTAGTTTTCGTAGCGATTTTAACATAAAAACATCAAAAAACCAATGGTTTTTCAAAAAAAATGTCAAAATTTCATCCCGCGCGCTCTTGCGGATTCGTAGGAAACCCAACACTTTTTAAACATTTCTGTCAAACGGGCTTTTGCGAGCAACTTTTTCGAACTTCTGCAACAACGGTTGCGCACCTGCCAGGGCCATCATCCCTGTCAAATAATACCATGCGGGACACATTCGTTTTTTCTTCGCGCGCGCACGCCGTCGTCGTCGGCCGCGGGGCCCTGAATAGTAGCCACGGTCGTCCGCATGCCACGAAGTGAAGTGTCCGAACGTCATAGGGCGGGAAGCTGGGTGTGGGTGGTGGCGAAGAGTCGTTTGGAAATTTGGTAGAGCTTGAACCGGCCCCCCCACAAAGTGGGGGTATTGCCCGCCTCCTATGAAAACCCTGGCACTGGTGAGAACGGTGTGTCCCCACGTGCTAGTAATTGTTGTTGTTGTTGTTGTTGTTGTTGTTGTTGTTGTTGTTGTTGTTGTTGTTGTTGTTGTTGTTGCTGTTGTTGTTGTTGTTGCTGCTGAGTTGTTGGAGGCCGCAGCCTTTTCATCATTTTCGTGTCAGGTAATTCGAGGTGATCAAGATCCGGTTGTTTTGTTGTAATCCGTTTTCCCTTGCAAAAAACATTATAAAATGACATTTCTTGTTCTAATATAATCAAATTTCAAGAATCCCTTGCAAAAAATAAGGTAAAGTGGACATTCGCGCGCGCAAGACGAAATCCTTCCAAAAGCTTAGTGTTCGGAGCGATTTTAACATAAAAACATCAAAAAACCAATGGTTTTTCAACAAAAAAATGTCAAAATCTCATCCCGCGCGCTCTTGCGGATTCGTAGGAAACCCAACACTTTTTAAACATTTCTGTCAAACGGGCTTTTGCGAGCAACTTTTTCGAACTTCTGCGACAACGGTTGCGCACCTGCCAGGGCCATCATCCCTGTCAAATAATACCATGCGGGACACATTCGTTTTTTCTTCGCGCGCGCACGCCGTCGTCGTCGGCCGCGGGGCCTTGAATAGTAGCCACGGTCGTCCGCATGCCACGAAGTGAAGTGTCCGAACGTCATAGGGCGGGAAGCTGGGTGTGGGTGGTGGCGAAGAGTCGTTTGGAAATTTGGTAGAGCTTGAACTTGCCCCCCCACAAAGTGGGGGTATTGGCTGGCGTCGCATGAAAACCCTGGCACTGGTGAGAACACTGAGCGTTCGGGTAAAGTGATTGTTGTTGTTGTTGTTGTTGTTGTTTGTTGTCGTCGTCCCCCCGCGATCCAGCCCGCAACCCACCCGCGACCCACCCCGCGACCCACCCGCGACCCCCCCCGCGACACGCTCGCGACCCACCCGCGACCCACCCGCGCACCCGCGACCTGGCCCGTGACCCACCCGCGACCCACCTGCGACGGAACCCGCCACCCACCCACATTGTTTTAACAACAAAACCGGCGCCTGCGGCGGGCTCGCTGTATAGCTTGAAAATTTTGCGCCTGCGGCGGGCTTCCTCAGAGCCTCGCAGACTGCAGACGTCCCCGCCGCCCCCTCACTCTTACCCGCAACTGCGGGGTGCTAGGTATCAGTTCGTCTCTGCACCTCGCCCCTGCTCGCCCCAGGAGTCCGCAAGACACCTCGACATACACCGAAGGCGTACCCCAGGCAATCTCCGAGAGGCCGCGGGCGGCCCCGAGACGGCCCAACGCTGGCCCGTGACGGCTCCTGGGCCACCCCCCCGCACCGCAGACAACACGGCACGTGCATTCTGTGTCCCAGGGCCGGGCCGGAATGGTCCCCCGATGGCTCCGAGACACTTTCGGACGGCCGCCGGCTTCGATCACGTGCATCCCACTCTCTATGTTATGTGTGCCATGCTGCTGATTAGTCCTCTCCTCTTCGACGCTTGCTGGACACTGGGTGCCCTCTTCCTCAAATGCTCGTGGCGCCTCGCTTCCAACCATGTCTTTGCTTTTTCGTGGTAGGCAAGGGAACAACCTTCCCTCGAACGTTCCCAAGTGCGTCTGACTTCTTCATGAAAATACCAACCACTAAAAACAACTTTAGCCCAACAGGGAACACCGAACATGGCGAAACATGTCGCCACGCGAAGAGACGACACGGTCCATAAGGAGTGCCACCAGCTGAAGTCTGGTTGAACAGTGGACCAAGTGGAGACATGGGTGTCAGGACCAGGTGTTCTGCAACCCAACCTAACTAGGTACAAACGCCAGAATGCAAGAATACCACTTCACATTGAATGCCGCAAGCCTGACGTATACAATCAAGTGTGTGGGTGGGTTAAGGGGTGGTGGGGATTTCTTCGGAACTTTAGCGGAGACACATATACGGAGTCCGATGTGTACAACAAGTGGCACAAGTCAGCTTACATTGAACTCAGACAGCTGGGTAAAGTAAGCCCTGGGAACTCATACGGTCGTAGCCAACGACAACTCACCCGTCATGTCTTACATGTCATAACATTGCGCGCATGTGTTTAGCATGCTCCGACGATGCATGCGGTATGCCCATGCAATGTGTGTGTGCTTGTCTGCAAACATGCGAACCGTGTATGCGCTCTTCTTTCGGTGAACTCCAACAGTAAGCGATGAAACTCGTTTGGGCGACCTCGAAACGTTGGAATTCCGGAACACACACAAAAAGCTTTTCTGAACCATTGAATTGTCCTGTCTGCTTGGGGCGATCTGGCATACATAAGGTGGCCAGGTGGGCATGACTTGGTCTCCAAACCATGGGAAAACCAAACAATTCCATCATGTATGTCTCTTTGAACCTAATTCACGTACGCATTATACAAAGCTGCTGCCTGCTCACATGGTACATAATCTAGCGTTAATCACCACTTCCCCTCCCGCACTCTCTGGGGCACCCAATCATCGACGACCCGTGGGAGCACTGGGCCATGGGTGCCCCCTGGCGGCCTCTCCAAAAGGCCTCTCCAGGACGTCGATATAGTCGACAAGCCTCCCCGGGCAGTCCAGAGCGGTCAACACCCCGGCGACTGTCCTGGGGCGCAGAGCGCCCCAAGGTTGCGGTGGTCAAACCGCCCCGGTCCACTCGGGGGGCCTGTTGAGGCCAGACTTCCTCGGGGAGCTGTCCGTACACAGCCCGTATCCCCACAGCCGCACCAATTTCAGTGGGTGGGGAGGCAGGGCTGCCTTAGACTCTCCACCGCGTGCCGCCCCCCCCGCCTGGCATCCGCCGATGTGTTTCTTTCCAATCGCGGAGGTCCCTGATCCCGCCTTGGGCTAAGTCCCCCCCCACGAACCCGCGACAACTGGCAGCGCCAGACCCCGCCCCGCTCTCCGCCGAGGGGTGCGCGCGGGCTCCGGCCTACTTCTGCCGCCGCGGCCGCTGTCGCAGCCGCTTCTCCATGTAGACCTGCGGCGCGTGCGCGGCCCCGCAGCGAGGGAGGGACGATCGAGGATCGAGGTCCGATGCTCGAGGTCTTCAGACGTTCTCTTGGCGACAGCACGGAAACCACCATGACACTGCCGTGCTCTCACTCCCTTCGCTCCTGCTTCCTCTTGCCGTCTTGCTGCCTCTCTCTTTCGCTTCTTCCCGTCTCCACCCTCCTCGCCCGTCTTATGCATACGCGCACGGGCTTTAAGGTCGAAGTTCGTGGCTCTACCAGGCCAGCCGTTGTCGAGCCTCTGGGGAGACGGGGAGACGGGGTGGTGAGAAGAAAGAGGGGGCAGAGAGGTACAAATAGGGAGACAGGGGAGCAAGATAGCCGGGCGCGCGTTCGTGTTCCAGGGGCGCTGGGGGGGGGGGCCTGCCCTTTGCGCCGGCGACGACGTGGGATCGGTTTCTGATGTTCCCCGAAAGTGCGGAGGAGTTCCGGCTGTGTGCCCCCCCAAGGGGTGGCTTGGATTAGGTCGGGGATGTCCCCCTACAGGCGGATTTTGGACCCCCCAAGAATAGCCAAACAATATCCCGAGTCAAAAATAGAGAAAATCGTCCCCCGACTATGTTTTGACTATTTTTGGATACTCCTCCTGTAGAGGGACGTGCCCGACTTGAGGCCTGGAGCGTCCCCTCCCGAGCTGCCCCCGGCCACGGGCGGAGCGCGGGCAGAACTCGGGCGTCCGCCCAGCGGCAGCGCACCGGAGGGTCCAGGAGGACCAGCCCTGGCCACCCCGTGTCTCTGCGATTAGCCTCCTCCTTATCCTCCTTATCCTCCTCCTCCTCCTCCTCCTCCTCCTCCTCCTCCTCCTCCTCCTCCTTCTCCTTCTCTCCTCCTCCTCCTCCCTTCCTCCTCCTCCTCCTCCTCCAACTCCTCTTCCTCCTTCTCCTCCTATGCCCCCCCAAAATACTCAAGACTGGTCACGAATTCTCAAAACATCGTCCCCTGTTGTACTGTTCTTGACTATTCCTCCTGTAGAGGGACACGCCCGACTGAAGTCCAGGAGGACCCGCCCTGGCCGCTCTCAGTGCCTCCACGAGGCGTCACGAGGCCCCCAGAAAGGAAGGCCCCCACGACGCGCCGAGAAGAAGCTCCCCGTGGAGCCGCGGGAGCCGGACGTGGCCTCTCGGGATGCCCTCTTCGTGGCCCCGCGCGCCAAACCAAGAGAGCTGCAGGCTGCACCTGGAAGAAGCGAACTCGACCCTATCCTTCCGTTTCCCGTGCTGCCTCCTCCCTCCTGGCGTCCCCCCCTCCTGTCTCCGCCCTCCTCCCCTTTCCAGCAGCTCCCTGCGTTTTTTGCCCAGCAACCCTGCCTCCGCCCCGTTTTCTCCTCTCCGCCCTCCTTCCCTTTCCCTGCCTTTCGGTTCTCCACTCCCCGTTTCTTCCCGACCCCCGTCTGCACCTTCCTCCTGACTCCTGCTCCTCGCCCCAACCATCCTCTCGCTTTTCGTGTTCCCATGTTCCTCTGCATCTCCATCCTTCCTGACATGGGAACCAACACGGGGCGCCCTGCTCGCATACCCCTCCTTCGAACTTTTCACTATCACAGATCATGCCCATCTGTGCTACAAGGTCGCGTTTCTCTCCATGGGACTCGTCGTTGGAATGCTGAAAACATCGGCATCCAAACCCAAACGAACGCGCACTTCGCAGGCCCTTCGTGGCAGGTGGAATGTATGAAGCTTTCAGCCCAAGAGAAACGAAGTAATCGGCTTAGAAAGTCAGCTTCGGACTCGCCACTCTGGCTGGGCCTTGCTGCAACCACCTTTTAAGGTCAGGCAGATAACACCCAAGACAACCGTAACGGTGTCGGCGACCACCAGCACCATAAGAAAGGGATGGACGATGACATACGCAGGCATCGGGCCGAGGAAACCTATCAGCTCAAGGCACACACCGCGACAGTGAAAGCGACGAAGACTGGGCGGCAGTCTGCCTTGGTCAACAACACAACAATCACCGAAGAAGTACACGTACGAGCCACCCAACACGCACCCTCGATGCGGGCAACCATGAGATAGCAGAGAAGAATGGCGCTGATATGTCCTCCGTCTTTCCCAAATTAGTCCAAGGCACCTAGGGTCGTTGCAGTCGGCACGTCGTAGGCCTCGGCCAGCGTCTATGGATTTTACCAAGTGCCCGACTTGGAAGAAGAGGAAAGCGCCATATAAACAAACATCGTATATGAGAGCGACTGTGTCGAACACCAAGGCAGCTGCTCGGGAACCTGCAGAGAGGAATTTATGTTTTCAGATTATGGCTGCCGTGCGCTGGAAGTTAGTACAACCACCTTGGATCAACTTGGATGTGGATGTTTGTTCGTCAATTTGTATGAGTTTTACGAAGGGCAATCCCGCCAGCCCTCTGGGCTTCGGCGGTTTAGCACGTTGCCTGTTCAAACTCATTTTTTTCTGTGGGGATGGGCCTGCCTCTCATCCTTTCCCAGGCCAGAATATTCCTCCCACCCACCCGCCCAGCGAAGCCTGCTTGGGGCCTCTTGGGAGCTCCTCGGAGGCCTCCTGGGCTCTCTCGGCCCCGGAGGGTGTCTTCGGGGCCGTTGGGTGACTCTTGGGGCCATCTTGTTGCCCACCACGGTTGCCTATGCCGACCTTTTTTCACGGTTTGGGACGCTTCTGGGGTCCATCGTGGAGAGCTCGGGGCCGTCTTGGGATTATTTTTGGGACGTCTTGCCGTCTTGCGGCGATACTGGAGGCCTTTTGGCTGTTTTGGACGCTGCTAAGACCCGAACAGTGAATATGCTGAACATGTATGTTTCCCTATGGGAATGGAGCTTTTTTTTCGTTCTGGAAGTCCTGTTCAGGGCCTCCTGGGCCGTCCTGGGGTCCTCTGGAGGCCATCAGGACCTTCTTGGAGCGCTCTTGTGCTGTCTTGGGTCTCTCTTCGGCCTCTCTGATCACCGCTCTGATCACTTGGGGTCTGCTGGCAAGACCCGTCTAAGCGCCCTGGGATGTCCAGGACGTGCAGAGGGGGGACCTTTGGCAAGGGTCAGGGGGCCCAGAAACCCTGGATGCTGGGGGTCCAGTTTTGGTGTGTGTGTGTGTGTGTATGTGTGTGCGTGTGTGTGTGTGTGTGTGTGTGTGCGTGTGCGTGTTCCCCCCCCCGGCTTGTAAAAACATAAGAACTGGGAAATGTATGCTATGCGTTCCCCAAACGGTGCTTGCACCAAGGGGTTCTTGCTTGCATCACTTTGGTGATTGGACCGGTCCGCCGAGGTTGCGCCACGTCGCCGCCCGTGCCGCCTCTCGGGCGCTCGTGAGCGCCCCGTGCGCTGGGCTCACACCAGATAGCTTGCACCACATAGCTTGCACGACTTTGCGTACACCACGCAGCTTGCACCGCATAGCCTGCACTAGTTTATGCTACGCCCCGCGCAGACATACCTATACATATATATATATATATATATATATATACACACTTACTACACAGCATAGCTTACACCGCATAATTTCCGCCTCAAGCACTTACAACATTCATTCACGGCATGGCTTACAACATTTATTTTACACCGTGCAGCTTTCACCTCCATAACGCGCGCTGCAAAACTTACACTACATAGCTTGCACCACATTGTTTGCACCGCGTAGCCTCCACCTCCACAGTACAATAACTCACTATTTGGGGGTCCACACTGGCTAGCACATATACATACGTTTACATCGATATGTGTGTCTGTCAGAGTGGCCCCCGAACAGTCCATCATGGCACCGTGCCTGTTGAAGCTGTGTGATGCACGAGCGTCTCTGCGGTCATTTTTTCCCCACAAGTGGCCGCGGTCGGCAACGGGCCAGAATTTGGCGGCGCGTACAGGGGGGTATGGGGGGAGGGCTCCGCCTTACATCCATAGAGAAGGCCCGCGCCTTCTAAGAAGCAGGGGTGCTCCTAAGAAGCCTTCCCCCCTCCCTCCACCCCCCTCTGCGCGTGGCTGAGGAATACTCCGAATCCTCGGGACGGGACATTTTCCACGGGCGGTTACCTGCAGCAGCGGGCTGGAACGTGGCGAATCCTTTCTGGACGCCCAGCATAAGCCGCAGCGGCTGGCAACGGGCGGCGACAAAAGCCAAAGCGTGGCAAACCCGCGGCAACGGCCGGGAACAGTGAGGGGGCCCAGAGACACACAAATAAATACACACACACACATCCCAGGATTCCCTATATATTCCAATATGTTCTGGGTTTTCGTCTTCCCCTCCAATTCCTGTATTTTCCAATGTTTTCCTGGGAATCGATGATTCATTTTGTCTGTGTGTTTATTTTCCCTCCTGAAGCAGCCGGTATCGAGCCAGAACTTGGCGAACCCCCGGGACACCCCCGAAGGCGGCAGCGGGCGGCAATGGAGCGGGAACAAAACAGAGCGTGGCGAACCCTCGGGAACCTATCCAATTCATAGCCCTAAGTGAAAGCACTGCTTCAGGAATCTGGAGCATTGAAGGAGAGAGAGAGAGAGAAGGGATCAAGAGAGAGAGAGAGAGAGAGAGCGAGAGAACGATACGCGTATACATACATGTGTGTATATATATATATATATATAGAAAGGGGATGCGCGAAGGATCAGAGAAGGCCTGCCCCTCCTCAACCTCGAATTCCACCTTCAGCCTGACGCTCGTGTCTGCCTCGGGTCCGCAGTGCACGCCGCCCTCTCGCACAGATAAGGCAACCACCATCCCGACACGTCCCATCCTATCCCCGAGAGCCCCATCAGCGCGCCGCAGGCAGGGCAATGGTCGCACACCGCCTCCGCCTCCCCCCCGGCACCCCTTCCCCAGAGCGGGAGTCCCGCCGATACTAGTGAACTGCCGTTCAAGTATCAACTGCGATATCCGTGCTGACGCTCACCAGGCAGGAGAGCCAAACAGCCAACGCCATCACTGCTCAGCACGAAGGAACGGCAAACGCGGCATCAATGCTCACAACGAAGCCGGTAACAATGTGCAGACGCACTCAAGGGCCACTGCCCCTGCCGACTTGAGGGAGCGACCTTATCCCCTTCGGGTCGTATTCTCGATGTTACCTGTTTAGGTAGCAGTGCATGCCTCCTTCTTCACCTCCCTCCCCTCCCCATGACGGCTGCCGCCGCTGCGGCCACGGCCGCCGCGGCCCTGAAGCACGGACACACGGATGCGGGCCACCACGTGAAGCTGCCATTGGACCACTCGGATGTCATCCGACTCCAGGAAGACGGGCCAGGCCATCCGCTGAGATAGTCTGCGGGCATGCACGGCGATGGCTGTGAGGATGCATTCGAAGTGCAGGCGGCTCCAGAAGCCGCGCAGCACGGTGGCCCGCGCTTCTTCTCCCGTGCAAGACGTGCACGGCGGCCATGGTCTCGTCACTGCCGACGTCGCCACTCTTCTGGCGGACCGGCAAGGCTGGGGTGCTCTGGAGGTCCCCAGAAATCTCTGGAAGTCTCCCAAGATCTCTGGAGGTCCCCGAAGGTCTCTCGAGGCAGGCCCCCAACCGATGACCAAAAAAGCTAGAACAACTTGAATCCGGGATCCCCCGCCCTGAAGCACTGTCTGCTGCTAGCTGCTCCATGTTGAACGCCGTCGCATCGAAGCCCCTGGCCCTCGAGCCCCGCTTCCCGCGAGCCTTGAAACCGAGGCGCTTGTAGAAGCTCACGGCCGTGCCCCTGGACGACAGGCAAGCCTTCCAGCGGTGAGTGGGAGTAGAAGGACGAGTACGAGGAGGATCAGGGAAAGCGACGAGCGAGGGGAAACATGATTCCCCCCGTTGATGGTGATGATTGTGGTGATGGTGATGGTCATGATGCTGCTGCTGATGATGATGACGAGGAGGAGGAGGAGGAGGAGAGGAGGAGGAGGAGGAGGGAGGGGGGGAGGAGGAGGAGGAGGAGGGAGGAGGAGGAGGAGGAGGAGGAGGAGGAGGAGGAGGAGGAGGAGGAGGAGGAGGAGGAGGAGGAGGAGGAGGAGGAGCCCGCCGTGCGCGCGGCGGCAAGGCGCGCTGGCGAGGCGGCCCGCCAGGCCGAGCGCGCCAAACGCACCCGCTACCCCGGCGGGGAGGCGCGGGCTCGGCCGCTGACGCTGGCCAGCGAGAGCTCCCGCAGGACCCGCAGCAAGACGAGTTTGCGCGAGCCCGCCGGGTGCCTCGGCTGCGCGCCGCAGCGGGAGCTGGCCCACCAGCTGCGGCGTGCGGCCGGGCTGCGCTGAGGCTGCTCCGGGGCTGCGGCTTCGTCCTGCTGCCCAAAGATCCTATATTACCTAACAGCTCTTGCTGATAGGCTTCTAGTGATCTCAAAAGAAAGCATCTTGACGCCGGGTCTGGGCGGGACCCGGACAGGGCATCCGGCAGGATCCGGCAACCCCGAAAATCTTTATGAATCTTTAGGAATCCTTAGGAATCCATTCCTGGAACACCACTCCCAGGCCACATTTGGAATGCCCGGAGCCAACTGTAGGCCACTTCGTGTTCTTCGTCTTCACAGAACACCATTCCCAGGCCACATCTTGAATGCCCGGAGCCAACTGTAGGCCACTTCGTGTTCTTCGTCTTCCCAGAACACCGTTCCCCAGAACACCGTTCCCAGGCCACATTTTGAATGCCCGGAGCCAACTGTAGGCCACTTCGTGTTCTTCGTCTTCCCAGAACACCATTCCCAGGCCACATTTCAATGCCCGGAGCCAACTGTAGGCCGCTTCGTGATCTTCGTGTTCCCAGAACACCATGCCCCAACCCAGCTGTAGGCCAAGGCCACTTCGTGTTCTTCGTGTTCCTGGAACACCATTCCTGAGGCAGGCTGAGGCCGAGGCAGGCTGAGACTCAGGCTGAGACAGGCTGAGGCTGAGGCTGAGGCTGAGAGGCTGACGCTGAGGCTGAGGCAGGCTGAGGCTGAGGCTGAGTCCGGAGACGGCTGAGGCTGAGGCTGAGGCAAGCCGAGGCAGGCTGAGGCTCAGGCTGAAGCTGAGGCAGGCTGAGGCTGAGGCTGAGGCTGTGGCTGAGGCAAGCTGCGGCTGAGGCAAGCTGAGGCTGAGGCTGATGCAGGCTGAGGCTGATGCAGGCTGAGGCTGAGGCCGGGGCAAGCCGAGGCAGGCTGAGGCTGAGGCTGAGGCTGATGCTGAGGCAGGCTGAGGCTGAGACAGGCTGAGCCTGAGGCTGGGGCAGGTTGAGGCTGAGGCAGGCTGAGGCTGAGACCGAGGGATGCTCAGGAGGCTGAGGAAGGCTGAGGCTGAGGAAGGCTGAGAATGAGGCTGAGGCTGGCTGAGGCTGAGGCTGAGGCTGATGCAGGCTGAGGCTGAGAGGCTGACGCTGAGGCTGAAGCAAGCTGAGGCTGAGGCTGAGCCCGAGGCAGGCTGAGGCTGAGGCTGAGGCAAGCCGAGGCAGGCTGAGGCTGAGAGGCTGAAGCTGATGCAGGCTGAGGCTGAGAGGCTAACGCTGAGGCTGAGGCAGGCTGAGGCTGAGGCCGAGGCAGGCTGAGGCTGAGGCTGAGGCTGAGGCTGAGGCTGAGGCTGAGGCATGCTGAGGCAGGCTGAGGCTGAGGCTGAAGCTGAGGCAGGCTGAGGCTGAGGCTGAGGCTGTGGCTGAGGCAAGCTGCGGCTGAGGCAGGCTGAGACTGAGGCTGAGGCTGAGGCTGAGGCTGAGGCTGAGGCAGGCTGAGGCTGAGGCTGAGGCAGGCTGAGGCTGAGGCTGAGGCTGAGGCTGAGGCCGAGGCAGGCTGAGGCTGATGCCGAGGCAAGCCGAGGCAGGCTGAGGCTGAGGCTGAGGCTGAGGCTGAGGCTGATGCTGAGGCAGTCTGAGGTTGAGACAGGCTGAGGCTGAGGCTGAGGCAGGCTGAGGCTGAGGCTGAGGCAGGCTGAGGCTGAGACAGGCTGAGGCTGAGGCCGAGGCAGGCGAATCCCTCGGAATCCTTAGGGTTCCCTAGGAGTCCTTAGGAATCCCTAGGAATCCCTAGGAATCAGGATTCCTAAGGAATCCTACGGTTTCATAAGGATTCCTATGGATTCCTAAGGATGCCTTAGGAATCCCTCGGAATCCTTACGATTCCATTGGATCCTAAGGCCGTTGCCACTGCGACTGTCATTGCGAATGCGACTGCGACTGCGAGAACAGCAGAATTCTACAAGTGGGTTCTCACCTGAATCTTAAAGGGAATGCTTCCAGATATGCTTATACACATCGCTGTTCGGTTGATTTGCCGGGTCAATTTTTTGGGTTGTTCAATGCGGGGCCCCTGGAGGTCCCGATCCCTTCCCCGGGACCGGCTTTTCATCCTGCGTCGTTTTTGGACGGTCCTGGGGCTCGGCGAGGGCCCCTACAGAGGTCGAAGAGGGCGAAACACCTCCCTCTTGATTTTCTCCATGCGTCGGATCTCTGGGCGCCCGGCGCGGGGGCTGCCGCGCGGGGAGGCCCTGCGCTGCCAGGGCGCTGGGCAGCTGGGCGCGGCTCCCGCGCGGCTGCGCTGCTGGGGCTCAGGGCGGGCCCCGGCCGGGCGGGGCGCAGGGCCGCGGCCGGAGGCGCCCAGGCCCCCGGCTGGGGCTGCGCGCAGGCGGCGGCGAGGCTCCTGCGCTGGCGCAGGGCCGCCGCCCAGCAGGGCGGGCGTGGCGGCGGGCCCGCGCGCCGGCGGGGCGCCGGCCGCCGTGCGGCGCGGGCCCGCTGGCGACGCGGCTGGGGGGCGCGCCCGCGGTCGCCTGCGCTGCGCGGGCGAGCGCCGACCGCCTCCCTGGCATTCGGTCGGGCATGTCCCCCTGCAGGCGGAGTTTGGACGAAACCTTAAACATGGACGACAAACAATACCCCGAAATGGCCACACATCTGCAAAACATCGTCCCCATGTTTCCCAATACTATTTCTGAGAACTCCTCCTGTAGAGGGATACGCCCGACTGAAACCCCTGGCAGCGGAAGCTGGAGGCCCTGGTCGGCGAGCCCCCTCGGCTCCGGGGCCTGCTGCCGCTGAGCGGTGCGCTTGTCCGAAGGGGTTGGGGGGTTGGGCCGGCGTCCGTTCGCAGAGCCCCCGGCGCGCGGCAGACACGTGGCCGCCGCGGGAGGAGGAGGAGGAGGAGGAGGAGGAGGAGGAGGAGGAGGAGGATGAGGAGGAGGAGGAGGAGGAGGAGGAGGAGGAGGAGGGGTTACAGGGATTACGGCCACCGCGTAGCGAAAATTTATATTCCGAAACGCCAATGCGAACTCGCGTCTTCGCTCGGTCATCGAGTGGCCAAAATCGCTTTCACCATTATGCGTGAGCAGTGGGACGACATCCAACGCTGTGCTCAGATCATGGTCCTCCGCGCGGCCAGGAAATGCAACAGCAGGGACAAATCAGTCACATCACGAGGAAATTGCACCGTCTTCCAACAGGCGCGGCAAAACAAATGAGAGCACGGAATCTCCATCCTCCGTCGAGGATTGCGCCGTCTTCCAAGTGGCGCAGCAAAGTACAGAAGAACAGCTCCCCATCCCAATCGAAGGTTGCGCCGTCTTCCGCGTGGAGCATTCCATCACTCATTGAAGGGAGCGGCGTCTCTCACAAGGCGCTGCAACGTTCGAGTGTCAACTCGCGCGAAAATTACTGCTGTGGATATTCACTGGGCGGCCTCAGCGGGGCATCATTGGGTCGCGGTGGCGGCATTCCCTGCGACCCGCCCGTCACTTGGGCCAGCGCAGTGCTCGCATCCGGTTCGAGGAAATCGGCTCCATCAGCTGTCCGAACAGTTGCGACTAGAGCTGAAGTGGGGGCCACCCGTCCACAGGCGCCGCTAGCCAGCGCCGCCAATACAGCGCTGGATGCCGACAAATCCCACGAGGTCAGGCCCACATAGTCCCCCGAGCGACTCCGTGAGCCTCGTCCACGGCGTTCGCGCGAAGTCCCACTGGCCTGAATGCAAAAGGCTTCACACCCTCCTCCCACTTCACAGTCTCCTTCTCCTACTCGCCAAAGGTCGGGTTGATCAAGGAAGCGCCACTGGCGTCACCGTGCATCTGCAGCAACGGCAGCAGCGACAGCGATGCCGCCGCTTCCGCGGTCGCGGCCTTCGCAGGGGCGGGGCCTGTGAAAGACCTGTCTCCGCATGTCGGGGGTGTGCCAGCGCCAGAGCGTGCGCGGCCAGCGCTGCCGCCAGCGCCGCGCCGACGCGCTCGTGGGACGACCCACCCCGATGCTCCAGAGCCCCGGAGGCCCTCCAAAGCACCTGCGTGGCGCGAGCCTAGTGTTCGAGCGAGTTTCGTTGGAGCCGTGTGGCTTGAAAGCTACGTTCGCATTCGAGCGGCGCTCGTGACCCACGCCGTGTGTGCAAGCGGTTTGACTCGGCGGCTCCATGCTCTTTGGACGCCCGAAATGGGTACGGAACAAGCGGGTACAATGCCCAACAACCGATGTTGTCCCAGACCAACAGCGGCCGCTGTTGGGCAGGCGGCCTTCTGTCTCAAACGGGCACAGCCGCGGCGGCGCGGACAGCGAGTCCTGTTCAAAAGGAACAGGAACTGCTGTTGAGCATTGTACCCATTCTTCCCGTACCCATTTCGTTCGTGCCGATGCTCTGCCTGCTCCTGGCTGCCTGGGCGCGCCGCTCGGCTGCAGAGCGACGCGGCCTGCCGACGGCGCGCCGCGGCGTGGCCTCCACGGCGCAGGCTCATCTCCTCCGAAGGGGAGCGAACGGGGGGCGAGCGGGGGAGGGCAGCGACCGAGGGCCGCCCCGGCGCGTGCGCGCACCTCGTGGGCGGCCGGAGCTGGCGAGAAGGACGGGGAGGAGAGCGAGGAGGATATCTATATATATATATATATATGTATGTATATGTATACAATTGTATATATATACACATATATATACACATGTATGCAAACATACACATATATACATATATATATATATAAATGGTTCCCTCTCTCCACCACCGCCTGGCATGCGCATGCCCCGCGCCCTCGTGGGCCTCCGGCGCCTTCCTAGGCTCTGCTCCGCCCGCCAGGCGTAATATGTTGCCCTGCAGGCCTGCGTCGGCTTCGTGCGCTTTTTTTTTCTCGCGCCTCGCAGGCGCAGCGTCACTGGAAGAACGCAACAGCAAAGATGCTCATGCTGCATGGTCACCATAAAAAAAAAAACTTGAGGGAGGAGGAGGAGGAGGAGACGGAGGGGGATGTGGACACGGATGCGTAGGTGCAGGAGGGAGAGGAGGGGGAGGAGAGAGAGAGAGAGAGAGAGAGGAAGCAGGATCGAGGTTCCTATCTGCTTCGGTTTCTCGCTTCGGCCAGAGGAGGCCGGAGGGGAGACAGGAGCAGGAGCAAGAGGCAGACCAGGAGCAGAAAGAGGAGGGAGGGGCTGGAGGAGGGAAGGGAAGGAGCAGGGCAGGTGCAAGCTTTCTGCTACACGCACGTAGGACGAGGAGGCGCAGGAGGAAGAGAAGGAGGAGGAGGAGGAGGAGGTGCGCAGGAGGAGGAGGAGAAGGAGGAGGAGGCGGAGGAGGAGGACGAGGAGGAGGAGGAGGAGGAGGAGACCAAGGAGCAAGGGAAGAGGAGGAACAGGCAGACCGCGAGGAGAAGGGGGTCCAGGAACCGTCTCGGACCGCAAACAGCGTTCGAGAACCGCCCAGGAATTTCAAGCAACCCATGGGCAATTCTCCTCCTGCCCCTCCTCTTCCTCCTCCTCCTGCTCCTCCAGCTCCTCGTGTCTGTCCTCGCTTCTCCTCGTTCCTCGTCTTCGTCCTCCTCTTCCTTCTCCTCGTCATCCTCCACCGCATTCTCCTCCTTCTCCTGTCCCTCCTCCTCCTTCTCCTGCTCGCTTCTCGTGGCTCCTCCTCCTCCTCCTCCTCCTCCTCCTCTTCCTCCTCCCCATCCTCCTCGTCCTCGCCCTCTTCGTCCTTCTCATCCTCCTCCGCCCCCACCCTCAAAACCGACGCTTGGATTACGGGGATGAGTTTTGACCATCATCTCGAAATTGACCAGCCGTGGCGACGAGTCCCCCCGGGAAGGCCCGGAAAGTGCACACCTCGAGCCTCCCCTTGCTCCCCTCCTCCTGTCGGCCCCATGCAGGAGTGACCCTGGGCAAGAGTGACCTCTGGTGAGCGGCGTTAGGAGGCTGCGGGGGGCCAAATCCAAGCGCGCAGGCCAGCGGTGGGGGATCCCCGTGGATCCGCACCACAATCACTCCCGCGAAGGCTCACCCAGTCTTCGGGTCACGACTCGTGTCTCTGGCGGCCGCCCAGGAAGACTCGGACACCCCGGGGACGCACTCGGCGAGGCGCAGCTGCCGGAGCGCATCTCGAGGCAGGGAGACCAGCAGGAACGGACGACCATGTTCTAAATCGTGCAGCCAATCGCCAGAGGTGGCATTGCCTTGCACTGGGCCATGCCTCGCCGAGAGATCCGCGACATGCCCTCGACACCGAAACCGCGCGCCCCTCGGCAGGTTCAGGGGCATCCAGCCCTCGATCGGCGCGGATTGGTCGAATGGGGACCGACGCCTCCCCTCTCTGGGTCCCCCCTTCCAGTCGGCGGCCCCGAGATTCTGAGCTGGACCGCTGCTGATGGGCGTGTTTTCCACCGCCACCACCATACGTTGGATGGGGGAAGGAGGAAGAGGCGGAGGAGGAGGAGGAGGAGGAGGAGGAGGAGGAGGAGGAGGAGGAGGAAGAGGAGGAGGAGGAGGAGGAGGACCCCCTCCCCCTCCAACTTGTGGTGGTGGTGGTGGTGGTGGTGGTGGTGGTGGTGGTGGTGGTGGTGGTGGTGGTGGTGGTGGTGGAAAACAGGCCATCAGCTGCAGCAACGGCGGCTCTCCCGCCTAAGTCAAATCCGCTCCAAGTCCGACCCGGGGTCCATCCTGGCCCGCCTCCCTCGAGGCGGACCTGGCCGTGGCGACGAGGAGGCCTCCAGGGGGACCCAAGGAGAGCGAAGCAAACGCCAGGGAGGGCCGCCGTCGCCCCCCCCTCAGACTGGATCCTCGGCGCTTCGTTTTCGGGTCGTAGCTCGGGTCTCTGGAGGCCGTTCGAGGCGATCGGGACACTCCCGGAACGCTCTCGGCGAGGCGCAGCTGCTGAAAAGCACGCCGAAGCTGGACAAGAGCAGAGAAACCACGAAGACGTCGGCATACCTTCTGGATCCCTCAAATGTCGTTGCCCCTGCCTGGTGGGCATGGGCCAGGCGCGCACCCGGCCTCGTACACGTCGCCGCGCTTCTTGGCCGCCTTCAGCACCTCGCCGCGGAGCACTCATGAGAGAGGATGAGGAGGATGAGGAGGAGGAGGAGGAGGAGGAGGAGGAGGAGGAGGAGGAGGAGGAGGAGGAGGAGGAGGAGGAGGAAGTGGAGGACGTGGAGGAGGAGGAAGAGGGAAGAGGGTGAGGAGGAGGAAGAGGCGGAGGAGGAGAAGGAGGAGGAGGAGGAGGAGGAGCAGCATGAACACATGAGGACGAGGAGGAGGAGGAGGAGGAGGATGAGGAGGAGGAGGAGGGAGGAGGAGGAGGAAGACAAGCAGCAGAAGGAGGAGAGGAGCAGGAGGAGGAGGAAGAGGACGAGGATTGGGACGAACAGGACGAGGAGGCGGAGGAGGAGGACGACTGAGAAGGACGCGGAGGAGGTTCCTCAGATCTGGGCGTCTTGAAAACACAATGGCAAGAGGATGTTTGGTAAATTTCGGGCTTCCGGAAGCCGTCGACAAAGACGGCTCGTGACGTACCGCTGGCCCCAAGGAAGAGGCCGAAACCGTGGTCACTCCCATCACGAGCAACAGTGAAATGTCGGAGGAGAGAATGGAGGTGGATGAGGAGTTGGACGAAGTGGGTGGAGGAAGGGGAAACGGAGGAAGGATGAAGGATGAAGGAGGAAGGGTAGGAGGAGCAATGAGATGACGATGACGATGACGATGACGATGACGATGACGATGATGATGATGATGATGATGATGATGATGATGATGATGATGATGATGATGATGATGATGATGATGATGATGATGATGCTGATGCTGATGCTGATGCTGATGCTGATGCTGCTGCTGATGATGATGATGATGATGATGATGATGATGATGCTGGTGATAATGATGATGATCAGCAGTGAGACAAAAAAACATAACCATGTCAATCACGTATTTAATTGCATCATCCGCTCTCTGCCGCCGCCAATGGATCGCAGGCCGCCGTCGCCGGGCTCGCAACGCCATCAAGCTGGACGAGTGGCCCAGGGCGAGCAGGGTGACGTCGGCGATGGCGGCAGCCACGGCCCGCTCCGGCGCCAGCCGCCACTGCGCCGTACAGCCCTGCGCCGCTGCGGCACACCCGCGCCGCACAGCGAGGCCGCCGTGTCGGCCGCGTGGCGGAGGCTCGCCCGGCGGGCGGCACCGAGCCTGCCGCAGGTCCCGAAAGAGAGGGCCGAGGCCCGGCTTCCGCACCGCGTCGGCGTCTCGAGCTCCCCGGCGGCCGCCGCCACCGGAGCACGGGCCGCAGCTGCGCGGCAGCCTCGAGCGTTGCGGACGTCGTGCGGGCACCGCACCGCCACGTCGAAGAATAATGAAACAAGGCCTCCCGGGATAGACATGAAGGCGCTCAGGATCACCTCGGTGATGACACCTTCTTGATGATGATGATGATGATGATGATGATGATGATGATGATGATGATGATGATGATGATGATGATGATGATGATGATGATGATGATGATGATGACGATGACGATGACGATGACGATGATGATGATGATGATGATGAGGAGGAGGAGGAGGAGGAGGAGGAGGATGCGCAGTGTGCCCTCATTGCAAAACACGGCTCCAGGGAACCGGTTCGATTGAAACAGCTAGGCGCCGCCAAACGCCTTCCGAGGCCGACTCTGAAAGACTCCTGGCGACGTCTGTCGGGGGCGTCCACGAGGGGGGGGCATCCAAGAGGGGGGGGCGCAAATCATGGCCAGCGGCACGTGCGCGGCCCAGGGAGGGAGGGGGCCGGGGATGTATTGAAATAAGAAGAGACGCCATGAAATCGGAGGAGATATCAATGCCACCGCCATTGCATCCCCCCTGGTCATCACCCCCCTCTTTGCCGCCCCAAAGCCTGGAGCCATCCTGGGACTTTCGGCCGGGACCTCCCCCGAGCGCGCAGCAAGCGGGAGGTCTGGAAGGGCCAACGGAGGAAGCGGAAGCGGGGAAAGTCTGGAGAGGGCGTGCCCATCAATCGGGCGGTTGGTAACCCTGACCTTCCAGGAGGACTACCAAATAGTTCCAGGACCTCGACATCCAGATTCCAGTCGAGGCTTTAGGCAGTCGAGATAGGTCTATAGGTCTGGGGGGCAATTTTTTAACACTCTGGAAGGTTCGGCAATGGGGGGTAGCCTAAAGGGGGGGCGATGAAAAGGCCCTAGAGGGCCCCCATACGGCTTCTTTTAAAACCAGCAGGGGCCCAAAAGGGGCCCGGCATGGCCCCATTGAGGGCCCTTCCCTTCGCCCCCCATTTAGGTCAACCCCCATCGCCACCCGCCCAGATCAAAGGAAATCATGTTCCGCCCCGGCAAGGGCCCGCTCCGCAGCGACCCCGACAGCCTCCCCTCCAACAGCTCGATCGGACTCGCCTGTGGCGTTGCCACGATGGTTTTCCATTGTGCCCCGCAGGCTCTTGTAGTTGTCTTTGCAAGTCATAGTGGTGTATACTCGTGCTGCCAGCGGGAACATGTGCGCGCCTAGAGGCCTCCTAGACGAGGTCGGAGTAGATGGGGTCGAAGGATCCCGCCGCATCGCTGATGCATCGGCGATGCATCGGCGATGCATTGGCGATGCACCGGCGATGTCGGCGATGCATTGGCGCCGTCGGCGTGGCGAAAGTCGGGCTCCGCATCGAGCTGCATCGCCGATGTATCGGCGATGCGGCGCGATCCTCCGACCCCATCTGCTCGGACCCCATCTGGGAGGCCTGGAGCGCTGCGTGTGGGAGCCCGCGGCAGCCTGGCGAAAGCGGAGGAGCGGCGCGCGGTTCAAAACGTCGAAGCGCTCTGCAACGACACGGTGGCAGGACCCAGCCAGTGAGGCGACGTGCCTCGGCGGCCGGTCCAGCCAACTGGCTCGAGAGTTGCAGCCAGCCGGAGCGACGGAGCCTCCAGCACGGCGACTGGACCCGCCTCGCGCGTACCATCGCCTGCTGAGCGTTCACTCGCACACATCGTGTGCCACTTGTCACAGCCAGGGGCAGCGCACATCGAGAGCAAGATAGATCCATCATTTGATCAGACTGCTTAGGTACTCCTCCAGCTCGCGCACAGGAAACGTAGCGGGGGCATTCCCCGCTTGCGGTGCCATGCCCGCCTGAATCAAAGCGGCCACGATCTACTGCATCCAGCGCTCGTCCCTCAGGACGAAGGTGAGGCGTCTCTCCTCCTTGTCGCACGTCTTGTCCAAGCGGCGCATGGGGATCGCTTCCATATTCTGCTCCTCGTTGTGGGGGCGATGGTGATGATGACGACGATGATGGTGATGGTGATGGTGATGATGATGATGATGATGATGATGATGCTGACAATGATGATGATGATGATGATGATGATGATGATGATGATGATGATGATGATGATGATGATGATGATGATGATGATGCTGATGATGCTGATGCTGATTATGATGATGATGCTGATGGTGATGACGGTAACAATACTGATAATGAGGACGATGATGCTGCTGATGATGAGTATGATTATGATTATGATTATGATTCTGATTATGATGATGCGGACGATGATGATTGATGATGATGATGCTGATGATGATGATGCTGATGATGATGATGATGATGATGATGAGGATGATGAGGATGATGAGGATTATGATGCTGATGCTGATTATGATGGTGATGATGAGGAGGAGGGGAGGAGGAGGATGAGGGGGAGGAGGAGACTTCAGCATCCTTCTCATCGCGCTCTTCCTCCCCCCTCGCTTGTGAAGCAACCTGATCAGGGATGGGCATTGCCATCGCACGTTGGAGCGGGGCTCGGGGGAGCAGAGAGGAGCGCGGCCCCGTGCATGCCATGATGTGGTTGAAAAAGCTCTTGCCAGCAGAAAGTTTGGCTCCTCAGAGGAGGAGGAGGGGGAGGAGGAGGAGGAGGAGGAGGAGGAGGAGGAGGAGGAGGAGGAGGAGGAGGAGGAGGAGGAGGAGGAGGAGGAGGGCTAGGACTCGTGCTTTGCCACCGAGCCTTCTCCACGGGCGCCAGAGCCCGCTCTCCAGGCTATCTGGCCGCCGCGAGCTGCCCTTTCTCTGCGGCAGCGAGGGTACGATCTTCCACCGGCTGTGGCAGCGCCAGCACCTGCGGGTGGCCGAGGTGCGCGCAGCCTTCGTCGAGCAGGGAGTGATCGCTGCTGCTCTCTGCCTGCCGGGGACCTGGGAGACGAGGTCCTCGCATTGGTGTCCGGAGCCTTTCGGCACCCCGCCGGCGCTCACCCGAAGCCGTGCACCGAAGCAGACGATGGGTCTCACGCCTCCTGGCCTGTGGGGCTGTCTATTTGTCGACGGCTCGTGCTCGATGCATATTGTTCAGCAGCTTTCTCGAGCGCCCAGCTGTGCGTGTGTGTGTGTGTGTGTGTGTATGATCGATTACACCAGGGATTATGTGGTTTCGTTTCGGGCCCCAGTTTGGAGCCCGTATCCCCGAACCCCTCAGGGAGGCGTGTTTACTGCTTACACCTGAGCCAATGTTCTTTCGAGGAGCCCCGCTTGTTCTAAGGCCTTCGCTGATTGCAGTACCTTTGTAAAGGTTCCATGCAGATCCACAGTAGAGCAATTTTCGGCCAACCGCATGTACGTGGGCACCTTTTTTTGCAGCGCTAACGCCGAACAGTCGGCCAGTCTTCCTTGTGAGAAGGTCGCCGCCCATCGAGATCTCGATGAGCCAAGGATCGACGCTAGTGAGAAGCGGAGGCGAGCAGGCAATCATCACGCCGATGTCGGCGCAAAAGCCTGCTCTCGCTCTGTACCCAAGCTCTCCAGAAACAAGCGCGAAGCGGTCTGGAGTGCGAGGGCCACTTCGAAGCTGGCTGCTGAGCTGCTGCACCTGTGGCCCGACGTGGACCGCAATCAGGCCAAGAGGGACCCGCATGAGGCCGCCCCCCAATGGGCACCGGTTGGGAGGCGTGGTTTGTGTGTCCTGGGGAGGTGCGCGGCTTGTCTTCGAAGGAAGCGGGGGGGTCTTCTCGCCCTCCTTTGGGCCACTTCCTGCAGGACTC